GGGGTGGGGGGGGACCAGGCCTGCAGGGGAGGGCAGTTTGGGGCAACCAGGCTGGCAATGGAGGGAAGTTAGAAGCAATCGGGCCAGCAGGGGAGCAGGTAGGCGTCGATCAGACTGGCAGGGGAATGGCTAGGGGGTGATCAGGCTGCAGGCAGAGGCGGTTAGGGGCAATCAGGTAGGCAGGCAGGCGAGCAGTTGGGTGCCAGCAGTCCTGGATTATGAGAGGGCTATCTGACTGCCTGTTTAGGCCCAATCCCACTGGGGTCCCAATTGGAGAGGGTGCAGGTTAGGCTGAGGGATCACCACCCCCCAGTGCACGAATTTCATGCACCGGGCCTCTAATATATATATATATATCTCCATCCATTATGACCAGCCACCATGATGTGCACTGACCACCAGGGGGCAGACGCTCAACACAGGAGCTGCCCCCTGGTGGTCAGTGCGCTCCCACAGTCCGTACCCCCCTTCCCCACCTCCCACTGGCCAGCCTGGGACTGGGTGAGATGGCCCTGGCCGGCCCCAACCCCCAGCCAGGCCAAGGGACCCCACCCGTGCATGAATTCATGCATTGGGCCTCTAGTTGTTTTATAAAAGTTGTAAATTATATATACACATGTGTATACTTGGTCCAGAGTAAAAGGTATTGCTTACTCTGGGTTGCAGTCAAAACACAAGCAGAACATCATATATTAGATATCACACACACCCTCACTTTACAGTAACTATTGGTAAGTACAGTTAAGATAAACCTTTACAAATCACTGCTAATTCCATATTAACCTGACTTTAAGGACAAACCCACTTTCCACCCGGGTAATAACTAAATTTGCCTACAGAAGGAACTATGTTCTATACACTGAAGCTGAGGAAAGGAGGTAACCTTACATTCCTCTGCTAGAATTTTTCTGGAAAGGATTTGAAACTGAAATTTTAATTAAAAGCCAGTTTAAGCAAGAGAAAAGAGGTGGTCTCTTCAACTGGGAAGGTCAGATAACACTCATTTGAAACCTGAAAATTTTTTATAAACAACAAATCCAGTTAAAGAAATTGGGGATAACCCCTTTTGAAATATAGAATATTTTAAAATAAAACTTTTATTTTAAAAAAGCTTTTATTGATTTTTAGAGATAGAGGAAGGACGAGGGATAGATAGAAACATCATTGATGAGAGAAAAATCATCAATCAGCTGCCTCCTGCACACCCACTACTGGGGATCAAGCCCAGAACCCAGGTATATGCCCTGACTAGGAATTGAAACAGCAACCTCTTGGTTCTGGGGTTGAGATCAACTGCTGAGCCACACTGGCCGGGCTTATTTTCAAATACACACCAGAACTTAGGTAGATAGCACTGCCAAACATAGGAATTACAATAAAAAGGTAAAAATCTTTTGTTTTATGTAAGTTATGTGTAAATTGATAGTAACTGACATATTCTTTCATTCTTTATACAGTTCATAGTTTTGTAATTGCTTTCAAAGGTGAATGCACATTCCAGTAGCATGATTTAGAATTTTACTGAACATAAGTCTTATAATAGTTAACATTGTATAAAGAACTATTTTTGTACAGTGGTTTATTTAACATTGTACATTATCCATCTCACAGTTCTGGTTACATGAATTCTCTCATTAGCTATTAATTCAACACATATTTTTTTATCTACTTTGGAGTGGCTTTTTAGTTTTAGGAGTTAGGAATAGATTTGTTACTTATCAATGATTTTCAGGAATAGGAGAGAAAGGCATTCTCCCCCCTCCCTCCACAACTTCTATCAGCATTTCAGGGTATGGGTTATCCTGGGTAGAGCAAGCAGCCTTCAGATTAGGTCTATACTACTTAATGAGGTATTTAATAGGCTGGGTAGCCATAGATGTTCATTTATACTATTGCATATCCAGGATAGTTATATTGTTTTGAGGTTAATGTTCTTTTGTTGAAAGTATTACAGATACATATCCTCTACCCCTGCCCCTCATGATCCCCCTCCTCCCCTGCACCTTCCCTCTCCACCTTCACCCCACTATTATCTATGTCCATGGGTTATGCATATATGCATGTAAGTTCTTTGGTTAATCTCTTCCCACCCCCATCCCCCAAAGTTCTTTTAAATGTTCTTTTAAAGTTTGAAGTTTAATTTTGTATAAAAAGAGGCTTTTTAACTCTGAAAACTTATTTACATCTTCCTTTTTGTCCATTCCATGAGTTAGAGTTCGTCTTGACTCTTCAAGCTAGAATCAGAGGATTGTGAAAGTAAGACCACTTAGATTTGACTAAGGGCACCATTAAATGGTGTCAGGTTTTAGGCGGCAGGTGGGTGAATAAAAAGAAAATGAACAAAGAATTTCACCTATGGAGGCTCAGGCATAGCTGGATGCCTGTATTGCCTTGCCACCCAACTGCCGCCTATAAAGTCATTCATCGCTCTGCAAGAGGGACCAGATGCTTCCATCATCAGTATTCCTTGTTTATGTTTTTTTCCTTTGACATAGCTAAAGATGGCAGCCAATTTTTTTTGAGGTCTTTATCAAGCATATATTCACGTTATGATGTAGAAGATAGGGTCAGCTTCTACAGTTGAGTTATTTGAGTGTTGGGCAGTGACACCATGCCAAACACTGTTAAATTTATGCCATTAAAAACAGTGTTCTACAGAGCACGATCCTCTGCGGCTTTAAGATTGGACTGTATTGGAATATTAACAGGAATCTTCAAAGGCCATGAAAGCTTAATGTTAAATTGCCCTTTTAATTGCAAAGGAGAAAAAAATGGAGAAACTTGTGAAACCTTACATTCCAAGTGCTGTCACAACTTTAAGAGGAAATTGAGGAATCCCAGGATTTCTTCATTTACTTCTGCAGTTTTAACAAGGAATTGATGACTGAGCATATCACTCTTCAGGTTTTAAAAAACATCAGCTCATCTTTCTTTGCTATTAGTTGAGATGAATCTACTGACAAAGGAAATTGTGCTTTGCTTATTTTCACAATTAGGCTTTAAAAACCATGGATGTGCTGTTTTCATAAGCCTCGTACTTGACCACTAAAGACAGTATTTTTTTTGAAACTGTTATCACATAAACTGAGTTTGGTGAAAAATTATAGTATTCATTGATGGTGCTACAGCAATGGCATGTTTTGGATCGGTTTTGTTTTGGGGAGGCAAAAAATGAAGAAAATTGGCATTCAAGATGTCCTGCAATAGTCAATACCAATCACAAACTTCCATCGATCTGCCCACAATCTACTGGAAATCTTCAGCCTTGCTGTCAGGTTCATTATTTTAAAAACATTACATCTGATCCCAGTTTGCCTTGGGTTTTGAAGATCTAAATGCTGTTCAGAGTGTTTTCTGTTATATACTGAGGTTCCTTGGTTGTTAAAGAACTGAATTTAGCTGAATTTATGGTCAGAACAACAGAATTTGGAACACCAATAACAGAACAATCCTGATTTTAAAACACCAACAAAAAAGAACCTGTACTTTAAAAATTAAAGCTTTCAGAATGTAACACATTGAAGTTTAAAATACATTAACCCTGAAATTTCCAGGAGCAAACACCAGCACTGCTCATTATTAAATACTTGAAGCAAAACTTGCCAAAAATCCAGCTACAGATAGCAAACTCATGCTAACAATGTCTACTTTCTTGGTCAGTCTTTTGAGGACCAGATTCATGAATGTTATTTCAAGAAAAAAAGTGCAATATACAGAACTATTTTGGGGTGATGTATTCTTTAGTAGCTTTTGGGAAGAATGTGTTTCACACTGATGTTTAGTTTTCACTGGAAGAACTTCAGAAAGATTTTTATGGAACTCAAAAGTCCGACTGTTTTTACTAGCAACTTCCAGATACTCTAGAGAAATTTAGATGTCAAATGACTGAACAGAATACTTCATTCCATTTTTCCTTACATCGTAAAAGCTTTTCTTTTTTTTGCTATATCTAGCTGTGGGGAGAAAACAGTGAAAGAATGTTGTTAAACAGCTTGCGTTTTGTTGCATCTTCTACACCGCCCAGGAAAAAAAGTTAAGGTGTAACTGTGACATGGTTATCATATCATCTGAATAAAGTTTTGCATTCCAAGATTACCATTTTTAAATTGATTTTAGTTGTGATACTTAATTTTGAAAATTTAAGGATCACTGGAAGGAAAATGTAAGATTTTTAGATGTATGAGTAGAGGTGTGGGTTACAAAAATGTTGAGAAAAACTGGTATATCCATACCCAGCAGCTCATCTCTTTATTGCAGGTCTTCCCTATAGGTTTAGCTATTGACCACTGTATCAAAGTCAGACTGTTTAAACTTGCTCCTCTCTACCCATGTGGCTGTACCCGGGACCTCATTTTCAACAGACTTGCTACATACCTGGAATCCTTAACTCCAATCGCACTATGACCTTAGCTCTTAGCTTTCTGGTGCAGTTAAAAACACTCGTTATACTAGCTACCGTTCGATCAACTTCTAATTGTTTTCCCTCCCAATTTATCAGATACCTGCTAGCCTTACTTACTATCCTACTGAGCCTGGACCTTGTGATTGGTCTTGGCGTGAAGAACTGGTTCATGTTATGGTCTAGACCAGGGCTTCTCAACCTCAGCACTGTTGACACATTTTGAGTGAGCTAATTTTTTGGTGGTGGGGAGAAGGTTGTGCATTGTAGGCTACTTAAGAGTCTCTGGACTCTATCTACTACATGTAAGTAGCACCACTCCACCAGTTGTGACAACAGATTTCTCCAGACATTGCAGGATGAGATGTCAGGGGAGGGGAGTGCACGATCATCCCTAGTTGAGAACTACTGTTCTAGATGCAGGGAAACTGGTCATATCCATAGACTAGCCTCGCTTAGGCCCTAGAGCCAGTGCCTGGCATAGTTGTTCAAGTGTTCAGTGGAAGAACAGCCTTAGCTAGCTGGACCCTTAGTAAATGTAGTCTCAACATCAGTAGGTTAATTGATAGGACCCAGACTTCTCCCAGCTGTTGGTGTGCAGATGGCAGGGTCAGCAAGCCTTTTATAAACATTAGCGCTGCTTATGTCACTGACACTTGGGAGAACAGGACAGTGACAAAGCAGTATATGAAATCAAGATCTAGAAATGATTAGTAAAAAGCAATCACCTTAGCTACTCAGTTTCAGCAAGGCCACAGGGCAGTCTTTTGTTTTTTAGGTATTATGCAGCCCTAATACAGGAGACCGGAGCCTGCCTACTCTTGTCAGAGTGTGGGTGGCCCTGTGTTGGTACATATGAATATCAGCCCCTAAAGTACTTCCTTAAAAGCTGACTCCCCTGCCATTGGTCATCAACCTCTGGCCACTATGCCATGCCTCCTGAAACTTTTATAGGACCTATAATTTCCTTGCTATTTCCCACCCCTATCCTTGACCCCCTCTGAAAGCTATCCTATAACAGTGAAGTTATTACAAATATGTATTGACTAATAAAATGAGATTACAAAGAGGGCGAGGCAGGCTTACTAGTCCTCTATACTAGATCTAAAAGGACTTTCTGCACTGATGGATGTGTTCTAAATCTATGCTGTCCAATACAGCAGGTACCACTAGCTACATATGACTTTTGAGCTCTTGAAATGTGGCTAGTGCAACTCAGGAACTAAATTTTCAATTGTGTTTAATTTTAATTGATTTTAAATAGTTATACTTGGCTGATGGCTAAAGTAGGTTGAATTCTGCTCCTTCCTAGGGCCCTAAAGAGTAATAGCAAGTCCAAAGAAAAGATGAAAATAAGCCAAAAAAACAAGTACAATTTATTTACCCAATCAGGAGAGAAAGGCTGTAAGGTGATATTTTTAAGCATATAAGGAGAACATATTTAAGAGAAGGCTTCCTTGTATTTTCAAAAAAATCTAAACAAAATGGCCATGAGCCAGTTTCACTTATAGGGGATATGACAGGGTTTTAGTAGAAATTAGTTTTAAAAAAATATTGTATTAACCCCTTCACCAAAAAAGCTGGGAGGCTGGGTCCTCAAAACAGGAAAAGTATAAGTGAGGTTTTATTTGGTGCCTAATGTAGGGCAAAACCTAGTATTAAGCAGGTAAGTGAGTTCTTCCCTTTCTCATTTCACAGCAACTCCTGACAGAGGATGGTGAGGAGGTCTTGGAGTCCTACAAGGGAAAGCAGTTTGTGCTGACAGTATTAATGAGAAAACCGAGAGGTGTGGGAAGAACAGGGCTACGGAGACCATGAGAGATGATGGTGGTGATATATTACACTTTTTTAAAAAAATATATTTCTATTGATTTTAGAGAGGAAGGGCGAGAGGTAGATAGAAACATCAATAATGAGAGAGAGCCATTGATTGGCTGCCTCCTGCACGCCCCCGACTGGGGATCAAGCCTGCAACCCAGGCATGTGCCCCCAGCCGGAATCAACCCCAGGACCCCTCAGTCCAAAGGTCGACGCTCTATCCACTGAACAAAACTGGCTAGAGCCATATATTACAATTTTAATGACAGCTCTGGCCCGCAAACCAGAGCGTCCTCAGGGGCACGGTATAAGAACTCTGCGCTTGGGGAAATGGCTCATTTCTGCATGTGAGAAACAGGAGGAGTAACAAGGCTCCTGTTATCAGACCTGCAAAGAGGAAGGAAACGGCCTGTAAGTTAGTACTTTTCTCCCCTCCCAAAGGGGGAAAATGGATGTCTCAGGGGTTTGTATTAAAGAACAGGAAGGCTTGCCCAGCCTGCATGGCTCAGTGGCTGAGCATCCACCTATGAACCAGGAGGTCACAGTTCAATTCCCAGTCAGGGCACATGGCCAGGTTGCGGGCTCAATCCCAAGTTGGGTGCATGCAGGAGGCAGCCAATCAATGATTTTCTCTCATCATTTATGTTTCTCCCTCTCGCCCTCTCCCTTCCTCTCCAAAATTAATAAAAACATATTAAACACACACAGGAACTCTCATTCCTCCACAGCTATCTGAGGTTCAAACTTAGGCAGTCCTGACTTTTTTTCTCATCCTAATATACTTGGATCCAGAGTTGGTCTGAGGCTTCTGGCTGACAATTCCACTTGGCACCAAGATGGGCCCAGAAATACAAAGTGGGATCCATGTGCCTGGAAGAGGCTCCCTGGAGGTCACATAACCCTAGGCACACAGAATCCCCTCTCCCCCTACAGCAAAGGATGGAATTTCTCAGCAGGCTTGGCTGAGAAACCCAAGTGTGAGCAGGAAATACAGTGTCTTCAGCCCTTACCTTGTGGTAAGCTAAACCAGCTTCAAGGTTCCATCTCAACACATTCTCCTGACCCTGGTTCATATGAAATTCTCTTCCTAGTAATAAAATCAGAAAAGGCACCTTGGGTCACAACTTTTACTTCTCCCTATCACCTAATGCTGCTTTAAATCCTTTAACAAAGCCAAGAGCTTGCATTCTCCCTGCATTTCTTATAATCCTGCCTGGACCAGGCCTACTTCCACAGCTTCTGACTCTGCACATCAGCTAAAGCACCCAAGGCCTCGGGCAGTGATGGCAAACCTTTTGACCTCGGCGTGTCAGCATTTTGAAAAACCCTAACTTAACTCTGGTGCCGTGTCACATATAGAAATTTTTTGATATTTGCAACCATAGTAAAACAAAGACTTATATTTTTTTTAAATATATTTTATTGATTTTTTACAGAGAGGAAGGGAGAGAGATAGAGAGTTAGAAACATCAATGAGAGAGAGACATCGATCAGCTGCCTCCTGCACATCTCCTACTGGGGATGTGCCCGCAACCCAGGTACATGCCCTTAACTGGAATGGAACCCGGGACCTTTCAGTCCGCAGGCCGACGCTCTATCCACTGAGCCAAACCGGTTTCGGCAAGACTTATATTTTTGATATTTATTTTATATATTTAAACTAGAGGCCCGGGGCACAAAAATTTGTGCACTCGGAGGGGAGGGGGGTCCCTCAGCCCGGCCTGTGCCCTCTCGCAGTCTGGGACCCCTCAGGAGATAACGACCTGCTGGCTTAGGCCTTCTCCCAGGTGGCAGAGGGCAGGCCCAATCCCTAGGTGCAGCCCCTGGTCGGGCTCAGAACAGGGTCGATTGGGGAGTTGGGGCGCCGCCCCCTGTCATGCACAGAGCAGGGCGGATTGGGAGGTTGTGATTCCACCCTCAGTCACACTCAGGATAGGGCCGATTGGGGGGTTGGGGCCCCGCCCCCTGTCACACTCAAGGCAGGGTCAATGGGGAGGGTGTGGCGCCACCCCGTCACACACAGAGCAGGGCGGATCAGCGGGTTGGGGCAACACCCTCTCGCCCACAGAGCAGGGCCAATCAGGGGCTTGGGGCGCCGCCACTGTCACACTCAGGGCACAGCCGATGGGGAGGTTATGGCTCTCCCCCATCACACACAGAGCAGGGCCCGTGGGGGGAGGGGGGGAGGTTGGGGTGCCACACCCTGTCACACACAGAGCAGGGCTGATCAGGGGGTTTGGGTGCTGCCCCCGTCACGCTGATCCCAGTGCCGGGAGGCCTCGCAGCTCTGCTGATCCGGTGCTGGGAGGCATATTACCCTTTTACTATATAGGGTAGAGGCCTGGTGCACGGGTGGGGGCCGGCTTGTTTGCCCTGAAGGGGGTCCTGGATCAGGGGGGGGGGCCCCCCTGGGGGGCCTGGCCAGCCTGGGTGAGGGGATGATGGCTGTTTGCAGCTGGTCACACACCCTTCAGGGTGGCGGTCCCCACTGGGGTGCCTGACCAGTCTGGGTGAGGGGCTGAGGGCTGTTTTCAGGCTGGGGGGGCCTGAAGCTCCCAACCGCTCCTTTTTTCCTTTTTTTTTTTAAATTCTGGGCCAGCTTTAGCTTGAGGCTTGGCTCCAGCTCTTAGGCCTCCGCTGCTGAAAGTAGGTTTCTGGCCTTTGCATATAATGTTGCGATCCTACTGGCTGAAGTCCGGGGGTATTTGTTACAATGTTCGAAACTGCAGTTGGTTTCCTCCGTCACTGAGGCAAGCAAGCCTCATGTTAGTTTCAAGCTGCCTGGCTGCCAGCTGCCATCTTGGCTGACAGTTAATTTGCATATCTCGCTGATTAGCCAATGAAAAGGGTAGCGTTCGTACGCCAATTACCATGTTTCTCTTTTATTCGTGTAGATGCCATTTAACAAAGAAAAATCAACCAAAAAATGAGTTCGCGTGTCACCTCTGACACGTGTGTCATAGGTTCGCCATCACTGGCCTAGGGAATCCTTCAGTCCCTCTCCCAGGAAGACCCAACAGAATGCCTTAGGACCTGCTTCAGGGGGACTGTTAGATCTCAGATTTCTGCCTAAGATGGACACTGAGTCTTTATCAAGAGAAAAAAAAGGCATGTGATTTCTTGTAAGTTCTGTTCGCAGAATTGATTTAATACCACACCTCCACTTCTTACTGGAATGGACAGAACCTATAATTATACCCCCATGTTTCCTTGTCAGCAATATTTTTGAGCTAATTCTATAGGCCTTAGTCATTAAATAATTTTTATGTACATTCCAGTACTAAACTCTGGAGTGAAGGTAGCATAGGGAGAAGAGAAATGGATTGGAAGAGATATTCAACCCCTCACTCATAAGGCCTTTGGTTAGTCCTCAGCCCCTCCCTTCATAGGTCTCATGATCCTCCTAGAGACCCTCCTGTCCAGCTTCAGAACTCCTTTTATCTAGTCTTACTTCAACCTAGCTACACTGTGACAACAAATACCTTTTAGAAAGCTCAAGTCTAGGCAGGAGAGGGATGAGAATCCTAAAAAGAAGTCCTTTGATTTCAGGACAAAATCTCCTTCCTTAGCACCACCTCTGGTTTCATTCTCTCCTCCCTTTCCTCTTGAAACCATCTCTCCCGAGCTGGCACGCCTCCTCCCTGTGCAGATCCTGTTTCCTGAACACCCTCCCTCACATTAGCCACTTGCCCTTTCCGAAGTCTGAGGCTGGCCACCAAGATTAGACCCTTCCACATGCCAAACCCTCCAGCTGGTGCCGGGACTGCAACATGGGAGCAGAAACAGACCGGCCGTCCTCACATGCAGGAGAGAGCCCAGGACTCAGCAGCCAACTGAGCTGAGTGCTATGGCCCAGCACACTGAGGGCCTGACTGAGAGCTCGGTGTCAGGAAGTCCACAGCACTTTCCTGACGTGGCAACCGGATCTGAGACCTTAAAGCAGCTTAGATTTAACGCAGAAAAGTGAGGTGGGATATGGTGGGCCTTCGTTTCCTCAGCTCCCACCTACAAGAGCACTCACCTGCGCATTCAAGGGAACCCTGTTTCACCTAAATGCTGGCAGAAAGGGAATGAAGGTCTCTGCTCCTGGGAGAAGGAATCATGGGCCTCTGGCAAGAAGTCCAAGGGGCTCTTTCCAGTTAGGCGGGTCCTGTGGGCTCCCCTCCAGAGAAGGGATGTTGAGACAGACTTCCTTAGAGGAACCTCTCCAATCTCCTCGGGATTCTTACCTTGTGTGGAATGGATACGATGCCTATAGGGACAAGAGAGGGGGAAGCCCAGGGCTTCTAACAAGTGGGTGAGACCCAGTTGAATTCCCAGGGAGGATTGGTGGGCTGAGCCCAGCCCAAAAGAGTTCTGCCTAAAAGTGTTCAGGGGTAGGGGAGGCTCTGAATACAGTGGGAATTTTCCCCAAAGGCCAGGTGGGTCCTCCAGCAGGCTTCCACTCTGTGAGGCTAGCGTAAAGATGTTCTGGATGAGACAGACTCATTGGAGGCACAGCTGATTTTCAGATACATCCCACGGCTGAGGGACGTCACCCCACTGGAAGGAACTCAGCTCTCAGCTCTCCTTGAGGACGACGAGTGACTCCAAAGATTCCTGGTTGAGGGGAGTGAGGAGTCCAGGTGAGCCCTTGAACTGGGCGAGATGGGGGCCCGGTATGCCTCGCAGGAAGCCACATAGCGCCTGAGGGAAGCAGGTGTAGGTGGGGTTTAACTCCAGCTGAATCTGAGTTGGAAAGGATGCCCCACCCGTCTTCACTCCTAGCTATACCCACAGTGGTCTCCAGGGTTGGGGAGACACCTCCCTTGGCTCAAGACTGTTCCTCAGAGGCACTGTGGCCGGCATCTCCGCCAAGGGAGACCAGGCAGTGGTCGGAGGAAGACTCCAAAGCCCAAATCCTCCGGCTCTAGTTGTCCGCAAAGTCCACTCTATTCCATTCCTCCCTCTCCTCCACGGCATCGCCAGCTTGGACTTGGTGTGCTCCAGGGCAAAGTCCAAAGTCCCTCTGAGACCCCTAGGAGGGGACACTGCCAGAACACCTCACCGAGCAAGGGAGCCACGTGGGAAGAGGCCGCAGACCTGCGGGAGGTGAACGGCATCTACTATGGTCAGTCTGGGAGGAGCCGGAAGTAGGGGCGAGCCTGCGAACTGCCTGCCTCTGGAAAGGGGCCTGCGGTGCAGGAAGCCCCGCCCGTGAGCATGAGTGGGGGACCCGGGGCTCTTTCACACCCGGGCCCTGGCCCTCCCTCAGGGATGCCGATTCCACAGGGGCTCCCTGGGCTGTTCAAAAACCAGATGAGGTTTCTCAAGGGGAAAATACAATGCGACTGACTGCTGATGTCCCTGGAAGTGGAGGCAGGAGGTGGGGGAGCGCGTGCCCTGGGAGCAGAGGAAATCCTCCGCGTAGAACAACAGCCGGGGCAGCCCTTGCGCAGCCAGCGACTCGCCCAGACACACGGAGTCCCTGCCTGAGCGGGCACAGCCGGGCTGGTCGGGTGGGTGACGGCGGGCGGGGGCCTAGTGCCGCGTTAGGAACGTTAAGGGCGGGGGTGCAGGTGGCCACCTGGATGAATCCAGCTGTGGGGGTGCCTCAGGACAGAGCCCAGGGGAGGGCAGGGCGTGCAGGCCGCAGCGATCAGTGCTCCCAGGGGGCATCGCGGCCCTTCAGCTCTGCGCGGCCCCGCCCCGGCAGCTGTCACCGCCTGCGCCTCCCTCCGCCTCATTTCCAGTGTCTTCTCCCGTCTACCCTCCCTCCCATTGGAGCATCCTTCCCCCATGGCCACTGGGTCTGTCCCACATCTCCTGTCTTTCTCCAGTCGGCCCCAATATCCCGTCCCCCGGCCCATCTAACCCCCAAAACGGTCCCGCCTCCCCAAGACCTAAACCAGGGCCGGTCCCCAGAGGTGCTCACGGAGAAGGCGGGGCGTCACTCCGCCGGCACCTGGGCCTTCACCCTCCACACACCCCGTCCCGCAGGCCCGGGCCCGAGTCCGTCACAAAAAAGCAGATACTGGGTCCAACCCTCCCTTTATTTTACCCGGGGGATACGGCGGCCT